GTGCCGGAATGCGTGCGGGGGACGCATACGAGAGACGACACTGGGGCCTTCGGTGGAGCTCCCCATGGAGCCACAAAACGTGAGAGGTGTGCCGAAATGGGTGCGAGGGGCGCATGCGAACAGATCCACTGCCACGAAGCGTGTGAGGGGTGTCCCGGAATTGGTGGCGGGGAAACAGGCAAACACCGTTTGTGGGGCCTTCGGTGGAATTCCCTATGGGGCCACGAAACGTGTGAGGGGTGTCCCGTTTCGAGTGCGGGGGACGCATGCGAGAAACGCCACTGGGGCCTTCGGTGGAGCTCCCTATGGGGCCACGAAGGGTGTGAGGGGTGTCTCGAACTAGTTGCGGGGACTCACGCGAACACCGCCTCCAGTGCCTTCGGTGGAGCTGCCTATGGGGCCACGAAACGCGTGAGGGGTGTCCCGAATCGAGTGCTGGGACGCATGCGAACACCGCCTGTGGGGCATTTGGTGGAACTCCTCAGGGGGCCACGAAACGACCGATGGGTGTCCCGAAATTGGTGGCGGGGACGCAGGCGAACACCGCCTGTGGGGCCTTCGGTGAGCTCCCTATGGGGCCACAAAACGTGTAAGGGGCGTGCCAGCATGGTTGGCTGGTGCGGAGGGCACAGGCAGGGATGGGAGGAGGGAGGGGGAGGAGGAAAGAAAGGCGGGGCGCCATCTCTTCGAAACGAGGACCCAACACCACAGGATGGTTGGGAAAAAACACAGAAGACCATTTGCCTCCGAATCTGGAGCATGCGCGGGCGCCCCGTGGCCACTTTGTTGTTTGACAGGGACGGCGGGGGGGGCCTCATATTGCTTGCTGCGCACCGGCCAACACCGCATGGCTCAAAACAATGACGCGCGAAAACACATCGAATGATATCCGAAAAGATGGTGGCGACAGGATCTTTTCCTCTAACAAGCAACAACCTGGGGCCAGGAGGGTGCCTACGGATAAACACAACACCGAAAATCAATACTGGGAGTTCAAGATCAGATGGATAGTATACACTGCATGAACTCCTTTACTCAGTCCGCCCCATTGTAGTGAGCTTGAAACTCCACTAAATCAAACTGAAGAGGGGCACCCTCCGACTGAAATGACATCGGTAACTCTTGGCCTGTTGCCAGCTAAGTGCGCAGTACATTCGACCGGGTCGGTTCCACCGACGAGGCCTTGAGCGGGAGAAAGGAGGGGAACGAAGACGACGACGACACGAACAACGAACCAGCCGACTCGGCCGCCAGCTGCCTGGCGGACGCTGCTCGAGAACGACCCTTGAAAGACGGGCCCTGCCGTCTGTTCTCCAGGGTCTTGCTCTCGGAAGTGATCTGCAGGAGACTTGAGCGCAGCAACTGCAACTGCGCGGCATTTGACTTGGCAATGTCGGTTTTTGTCATCACGTCTACGGGCATCATGGGATGTGGTACCCATCGGACTACTTCCCTTACTCGTCCTAGAGAGCCTCTACACACTGCGAGATCAATCGCAACTCTTCTGTCGGTCTTGCTGCCAGACGTCTCTTTATCTAGCGTGTCGAAGATCCCCTTGGCATCCACCACGCTAATGTTCCCCTCGGGAGTCAGGTCCAAGGTGCAGCTCTTGCGCAGCACTGAAGCGAACGGGCCTATGTGGGACCTCCAGGAGCCACCCCGAAGATTACCCCGGAGGACGTCGTAAAACAGCATATGGAGCCACTCGGCCTCCGCGAGGGCCGCGCTCAGCGACTGAACCTCTCCAGCCAGCGTCGAGGGAACCTGGCGCTTTACCCTGCACGAACGCCACGCCAACGGGGTGACACGGGCCCAGGGCCCGAGAGACAGGGCAGCATCGGCAGCAAATACCTGCCACGCCTGTTGGGGCTTGTCTCCGCTGTTTGCCGCAACGCCGCCGCAGTCGGACGCCGCGGCAAACAGCATAGACCGAATGTTGAAACGCCAGACTATTATCGGCACATTGGCGGTCTGCCGGAGATGGTCGACCATCTTGTTCAAAATCACGGCGCCCCCGACAGTAGGATGCGTGACCCTGCTCGCGAGGAAGGATGCAGTACCTGACGCCTCCGCTCGCGTCTCTCGCACGACCCAGTTGAGACGGTACACCATGGATCTGAAATCCGAGATCTCGCGACCAATGAGTGGCTCATCGTGGTTGGAGCGACGGGCTCGGGGGAGGGGGGGACGGTGGAGCTGCTCCAGGATATACTTCTCCTGGCCCACAAGAATCCCATCCGGAAGCCTCCTCAGCCCACGACCTACGCAGTCCCCCCCCGAGCCTCACCATTTTGCCAAAATCAAAGCGTTCCCGATAGCACTTCAGCTCCTCGGCCTGGACCGACTGAACGTGGGCCATGCACCGGTCGCCCACCTCAATGAGCACCATGGACTCCGGACCCCGGCGCCCCCGCTTGGTCATCCAGCACGGCTCAAGCTTGGACTTAATGTATCCCCTGGACTCGAAGAACGACACCGTGGTACGATGGAGAGCGAGGGGGGCGTCGTCTAATCCGCACACGGGAGCGATGAGCTCTATCAAGGACCCAGGGGGGAGGGACAGTCCTTCGCAAGGTTCCACGAACACTCTCCCACGGGGACGGACAAGAAGATCGCTCTGACAGAAAGCGTTCTTAAGGTCTCCAATCTGGACGTCCATGTCGAGTGCTAAGGACATCGTCAGAAACAACATAAGACTCTCCATCTGAGGAATGGGTGAGTACACTCGGAGCTCTCCGGTGCCCTCGTCTTCGTGACCCCGAACGCACCAGCGGCTCTTGGCCTTGGGACGTGAGAACGTCCCCTCCTGCGGCTTCCACCGCCTCACCATGCGACTGGACACCACTCGATTCGGGTACTTCGCCCGGAGCACCCGACCCTCCTCGGGGGGAAACACCTTCACCGCCTTGGTGTCCATGATAGCATTCATTCCTTGGCATCGGATTCGTCAAACTCCGCTGCCCCCTCTGGACTCAGACGCTTCTTCGAAACCTCGGAATCCCGGGAAGCAGCCAACGTCGGAGACCCGACCTCAGACCCCTCCCCCGGGACGAGCTCCACGTCGGCGTTCCCATTTCCGAACTCCACCCAAGATCCACTCCAGCCTCTCTCGGCCATACCCTCGTGCAGAGACATAAAGTACTGGCCGAGCTGTTCTTCCGAAAGAGACACAAGGACCAGGTCCGCCATGGCTTCGGGCCTCTCGTCAGGTCCGGCCGGGCCCCGACCGGGAGACCGAGACCTGTTTCTCTCCGGATCCGAAGGAAGAGAGCGCCCGAACCAAGCCTATTCCAGTCGGCGATCATGCGACCGATACGCCCTTCCGAACTCCTGCTCGGATCCACCACTGGCTGAGGGAGATTGTCCAAACGGGCCCTGTGACGCCTGGTCTGTTCCTCTCGCATTTGCTGAAAGGCCGCGTCTCTATCGCCCTGAAGGCGTCTTCTCATCTCTCCGAAGTCCAGAAGACGGGCCCTGCGAACGGCTTCCTGCCTCTGCAGTTCCAGATCGCTTTCCGAGGTTCCGGGACGCGGGCCGATCGCACTCTGGGCCCCCGACCCGGAGGGAGCTACTGAGGGAGCGGGGGAAGGTCCTGACAATGGCACCCCGGACCGAGTCGACTCTCCGACCGAAACTTGCCTCTGGAGCGGAGGCGGTTCCTCGTCTCGAGGCGGACCCGTCTCTCTGGCGCCTGCTGGAGCGCCTCCCGCTCGCTGAGGAACTTCGTTGCGTCCTGCGTCGCCAAGGGGCCCCGGCGGCTCGGGAGGGAGCACAGAGGGAAGAGGAGCCGAGGTAGACCCCTCCGCGGGGGGAACGGGTTCCTCCCACGCTTCAGCCGGGGGGGACCTTCTCGCATGACATTAACCCCCGCCCGGTGCACGCCAGACTGCACCTCGCGAATCATGGAGGCCACTGCTGGATCCTGCAAAATTTCAGCCCCCCGAGCCTCGGGCCCGGTGGCGGGTCTGAGTTGCTCGCTAGCGCATTTCCACAGGCGGGACCTCATCGACACCCAGACACTGTTATTATGCTGGAAAACCACAACTCCCGGGCCGGTCCACCTGTCGCGTTGCAACGCGAAGGTCTTGCGCTGGGCCCTCGGAGCCCTGCGCCACACGTACACCCAGTCCCCGGGGCTGTATTTGGTGCCTCGATGTCGTGGGGCCCTCGCAGCGGCCTTCACTCGGGCTTGGCTTCCCTTCTGGAACAACTGTGTCCGAGCGAAGCGTCGGATGCTCATCGCCCTGGCGGAATCCACAGCAGCGGCATCCTGATCCCACGCCGTCTCGTCGAGATCCTGTTGGCCAACTAAACCGAGAGGGCCATCAGACATCAACTCATGTGGGACGCGTGGGTTGCGTCCAAAGACGAATTGGCTCGGAGAAAACCCTGCGCAGATAGTTATTCTTCGAGGCCACAACCTCGTACGCCAGAATCTCGAGCTCCGTCTCCGTGGCGACGACGGTTTGCTCCGACCCCTTGTCCAAAAGGTCCTTGACCCATCCCCCGTGCCTCTCCGCCCGACCGTTTTCCCAGGGAACCTCGGCATTCACGACGTGTTGAAACACGCCCTGCTGCTCCACTCCCCTGAGAAACTCAGCCTGGAATTCGGCTCCGCCGTCGGAAAGCACCAACTCGGGGGGACCGAAGCATCGGATCCACGAACTGACAAAGGCTTCCCACGCTCCTCGGGCTGTCGGAGTTCCGTATCCGCTACACCTGGCTACCACCTAGTAGTTTGTCCCGTGGCACACCGCATTCAGAAAGGGAATGGAGCGGCCCTCAAAAGAAACGTAAAACACGTCTATCCCCACGACACGGTTGAACTGGAACGTGCGGGGCATGGCCGCTCTCCGTCTCTGCTCGGCCTTGGGGTGGGCGTCGCAGTCGGGACACGAGAAAGATGCTTTCACGTATTCGAGAACCTCAGGACGAACATGGGCCCCCCTCAGGACACGAACGAAGAGGGGGAGACGGGAGTGTCCCAGGTTCACGTGAACCTTGTACAGCAGTTCTTTGACCCGAGCGTCGATGGTGAGGGGAGGCTGAGCTTCGTCCGGCTCGTCTTCCTCGCCTCCCTCATTACCTTCGGGGATCGGGTCGAGATCTCCAGGGCCCCTGTCGACGCCCTGCTCTTCCGAGTCCATTTCGATCTCGCCTTCTTCCGCCTGCGGGGTCGCTTCTTCCGCCGTTTCCACCGGGAACGAGTTGATCTGAGAGATCAATCCCCAAAATGACTCAGGGTGGGCCGATTTGCGCGCCAAGGACGACACGATCTTGGCCACGGCCTCGGCCATGTGCTTGCAAAATGCCTCGGGGTACACTTGTGCTTTTCGAGTCCTCGCCTGACCATCTAGAACGAAGTACTCGTGGTCCCTGGAACATTGATACTTCCTGAACATATCGACCACGATGGTGTCGTTCGTCAACAGCCAAATTCGTTTCCTGGACAACTTGCCCTCGGGGTTCACCGAGAGACCGAAACAGCACATGTCGAACGAGACCGCTTGCACCCCCGGTAGCGCTGCCAGCTGGACCACTCTGGGGTCCTCCCATGACGAGGCCGTGTCTGGATGCTCCAGCACGACTGCACGCCCTCCGCGGTACTGGATGAGAGCCAGGTCGACGGCGTGATGGAAGTGCAAGAGGCCCTCCGAGACCAAAGCCTTGCGGTGCCCTGGGTCCATTGATCCCTTGCTGACCCTAAATATGGCGCTGTGCGTCTGGCACGGAGGCTCCAACATGGCCACTGCTGGCTTCTCTTTTCTCAGTCGTTACCTGGCCGCGGACCTGCCCCCCCCTTTCCTGAAGTCCCACCTTGTCTCCAAGTCCCAACTCCCAAGACACCCCATCCTCCGCCCCTGGATCTCGGGACCGATCCGAGGGGAGGAGTACACATCCACGAAAGCTCGGTCGGCCCACTGTCGTCTTCTAGAAGCCTCGAGTCTCTCGGGCTTGGGGTCCTGACTGCGGAAAGCCGCTCGGCTGGCCGGGGAGCGGGCGGTCGCCCCCTGAAGTCGACCCTCGGAGAGTCCCTGAACTTCATGCTCCGAATGGGAAAGCTGTCCGTCTGGTGGAAATTGCCCCACTTTTGGAAGCTGTTCTTCTTGTGGAAGCTGCTCCACTCCTGGAAGCTGTCCGTCTGGAGGAAGCTGCCCCACCCCTGGAAGCTGCTCTTCCCCGCTGGAGGGTCCTGCCGAGAAGAACACGGCCCTCTCGCACGCTTTCTTCATTCCTCTAGTGGCGGTCACCTCGAAATCATCATTAATTCGCCTGAGAGCAACAGATCTCGCCAGGCTGGCAGGGACATCGCCACCAGGCGCTCGGCCTGGCCATGCGGGGAAGCGCCCCCTTCTCTCGTCCACCCTCCTCCTGGCTTCCTGATCAGGTTCATTCTCTCGTCCTCCCCAATGTATTGGGGCGCTTCTCCCTGGAAAAAGACAGTCTCGTGTGCTCTCCAGCCGGCGTCGCTCAGGATCCGCTCGAGGCTCTTCCCGCCGGACAGCTCACTCAGGCCGTACTTGCAGTCGCCATTCTTCAGTGGTGATCGGGACTGCTCGAACCGCTGCTGGCACTGCCACGTCCCGGAGGTGACTCGGGGCCGACCTGCTCCCCGTCGGTCGGGAACACCGCCTGAGCCGGGACCTGCCGCGGCGTCGTCTGCGACCCGTCCTCGATCGCCATCTGCCTCTCCATACTGATCTGCTTCTCCTGGAAGGCGAGCTGGGTCGCCTGGATATTCTGAATGGCTTTTCCCTGCTCGATGACAAGAGCGAGCAGGCAACGATTCTGACTGGCCATCTCCTCCCTCACGTTCTTGATCTCGGTAGCCCGCGACGCGCGAGATGCGCGCCGACGCGGGCGCGTCGGACCCGTGCCGTCCACTTCCATGGGCGCCTCCAGGACCCGGTACTGCGCCATCTCCTCGGAGCGCTTCTGCACCCTCCTCGGCTCCTTCGAGGCCTGCGCCGATCCCTGATCGCTCGTCGTCGTCGTGAGAGCGGCCCTGGTGCACTCCACTGGGTCCCTCCCTGAAGCCCTGCCTCCCGGCGGCTCGGTGGGATCGCTCGCGTTCGGCACTGTCGAGCCGCTCTGCGCCGATTTGCCCTTCCCCTTGTAGATGCCCGGCGCCTTCACGAATCCCAGCCCTTTGGGCGTGAGTGGTTTAGAAAGCTCTCTCTGTCCTCAACCCCCCAACCCCCCTTCTTCCCCTTCGGGGAAGGGTTTACCCTCCCCCTACCCCCTCCCCCTGGACCTGGAGAGGGCGCCCCGCGGGTCGTTGGAGGGGTCTTTTTCGACTCCTGGGAGGGCCAAAAAACGACGACCCTCACGAGGATTCTGGCCCCGAGGGGGGGGAGGGAGTTTGGTCCCTGAACTCGTCGTTGAAGTAAAAATCATTGATTGTACTAAGGTTTTGGCCCCATTTTGGCCTTCTGAGGGGGCCGCGCTCATCTTCCCTCATACCAAAATCATTGATGTTACGAAGGTTTTGGGCTCATTTTGTCCTTCTCGGGGGGCAGCTCTCCCCTGCGCTTCTGCGGAGGTCGCAAGAGGCCCCAAGATGGCCCCAAGAGGCCCCCAGGAGGCTCCCGAGAGGCCTCCAAGAGGCCCCCCAGAGGCCCCCAAGCGGCCCCAAGAGGCCCCCAAGAGGCCCCCAAGAGGCCCCCAAGAGGCCCCACGAGGCCCCAAGAGGCCCCCAAGAGGCCCCCAAGAGGCCCCCAAGACGCCCCACGAGGCCCCAAGAGGCCCCCAAGAGGCCCCCAAGATGCCCCCAAGAGGCCCCCAAGAGGCCCCACGAGGCTCCAAGAGGCCCCCAAGAGGCCCCCAAGAGGCCCCACGAGGCTCCAAGAGGCCCCCAAGAGGCCCCACGAGGAGCCCGAACGACTCACACCAGGACGAGGGGCCCGAACGACTCACACCACGAAGAGCCCGAACGACTCACACCACAAGGAGGGGCCCGAACGACTCACACCAGGACGAGGCGCCCGAACGACTCACACCACGAGGAGCCCGAACGACTCACACCACGACGCGGGCCCCGAACGACTCACACCACGAGGAGCCCGAACGAGTCACACCAGGAGGAGGGGCCCGAACGACTCACACCAGGATGAGGGGCCCGAACAACTCACACCACGAGAAGCCCGAACGACTCACACCAGGACGAAGAGCCCGAACGACTCACACCACGAAGAGCCCGAACGACTCACACCAGGAAGAAGGGCCCGAACGACTCACACCAGGACGAGAAACCCCAAACGACTCAAATCACGAGGAGCGCTTTCTCTCCCTCCTCCTCCGCCTCGCCCTTCCCCCGCTCCCCTTACAAGGAGGATGTACAAGGAGGCGGGAGGAAGGAGGAACAGGGGAGATATGCGGGGCCAAGCGGACACACGCCTGAAAAACACGACTGTCGGCATGATTCGCGAGGGTTGCTGCTGTGAGATGGGCTGGCGGGGATACGCGAAGCGTAAAGAATTACGAGATCCTCATGTCGCAGCCCCCGCAGTCCTCCCAGTTTCCGCGTGCACTGCCGAAGCTGAAGAGGTTGGCCCAGGGATGGTTGCACCTCATCTGATGCTCCGTGTAGAACTTGCCCGCTTTCGTGGCCTTGAGTGGCCACTGGTGGCCGTTGCGGAACATGCGCAACAGCTTCTGCCCCTTGTGCTGGCGGTCGGCCACGACTCTGGAGCTCAGGCACGCCCAGAACTTGCCCCCTATCGACAGTCCGCTCGGATATTCGTTTCCGGTCAGCAAGTACTTGACGGACTGCCGCTCGCCACTGCCTCTCGCCGAGGAGCCTGTCATCGCCTGTAGGAACGCCCCCTCGGCTCTGTTCCAGTACATCCCCATGGCATCTGCACCTCTGATGAAAGAACGTGTCTGGCAGAGTCTTCTTCGAATCGCTCGGCCCAGAAATGGCCATGCGCGTCGGATCGCGACGTCGACGACGCGACGACAAACGAGGTGGAGGAACCGTCTCCCGAGACGTTTGCCAGAAGGCCTCCGGGTTTCCCAGGACACCTCGAGGGCCTCCAGAACCGTGGGGGGATGGAAAGAGGTGCCCGCCTGCACTCGGAGGTTCACGACGCCGTAATTCCCGGCAATTTTTGCTCGACGGCGTCTGGGCGTTGCCGCTGATCACTTTTAAGAGCGAGACCGTGTCTTTCTCGAGAGTAGTCTGATCGGCCCTGGGTTCCCGAGTCGGCTGCTCCGAGGACGACCTCGACGAAACGATGGAGGACGACCGAGCGGGAGGAGGGAGAATGTAGCTCTCGCTCGAGCTGAGGCGAAAGTCTGACGCCTGCAGTCCAAAGCGCTCCCGGACTGCCTCCGGGAGCTCCAAATCCTCGGGACGGCCAGGCTTGTCTATCGCGATCGTGCGATGACCGCTCGACAGCCGCTTCAAACTCGTGGTCACCCCCAGCGCCCTCAGAGTCATTTCGGCCTTCGGCAGGTCGATCACCGCCTTCACGTGTTCCTGCATGCCGATGGGCATCAGGGCTGGCACGTCCTGCTCGATCAGGTCCAGCTCCACGACTCCGACCTTGCCCTCGATGCCCGTGGGCACCAGAAGCCCTGACCGCACCGGCGTCTTGCCGCCGACGCCCCTCGCGAACTCGTGCTTGCTCTAACCCGGACGATCTGGAAACCCAGCTCGCCCAGACGTTTCTCCAGCCTCTGCAAGGCCGGCGGTCCGATCAGAGCCTGGCCTGCCGCCGCGTCGACGCCGATGTCTCCGGGGCCGGTGACCAGCAGGCTCATGGCTTGGACCGTCGCCGATCTGATGCGGCCCACGACCTGGTGAATCAACTCGCGCGCGCTGAACGAGTTGTCTTTCTCCGTGGGCACGGCCGCGCACCTCGGCTCCGACCCGTTGAGAAGTACGAACCCGCTTCCTGCAGCAGCTCCGGCCAACTCCCTTTTCTCTGGACACTCACGGCTCCAATGTCCCTTCTTGTGGCACCGATGGCATTTGGTTATCTCCGTCAGCTTCTCGATCGGAAGTCTCGTCTTTCTCTCACGCACTACTCCCTTTGCACTACGACGAAAGCCATCTCGCTTCCCCGGGTGCGGCGACGGCAGCGCCGAAGCCCTGGAGCCCGAAGGCCCCCCTGGGGTCTGGTAGAACTCCCTGTCCACTCGAAGCTGCCGTTTGTAGCCGCGGTTCTCCTTCTACGTATTTGTCCTGTCCTTCTCTAGAGTCGCCAGTACCTCGGGCAGCTCGTACTCGTCCACGTCGGCGGCGGCGATCGACTCGAGCAGGTAGACCTCCTGCTCAGACGTCATGGACGAGACGTCGCTGTACTCGCACAGGTCGTCTCCGTCGTCGGGAACTGCGTAGGTCGCCGCAATGGCCTTGCCCGTCCTGGCGCCCAGGTGCTCGTTGCGTGTCACATCCATCTCCCTCGCGGCTCCTATCACTTCTTCGTAATCCTTGGAGCCGCGACTCATGACTTTTATCATCTGCATACCATTTTCATCCAATCCGATGCCCTCCTCGAGAAAGAGTATCTTCCAACTGTCGTCTAGCTCCAATCCTTGGCCTTTCAGCCTCTCGAAGTTCTGATCCATCCTAGCCGTGTATACCGATAAACTCTCATATGTCTTGCGCCGGTACCCCATCAAGCACTCGCGGCTGGCTCTTCTCTTCTCGTCGTCTATGCGCTGCCCGCTCATCACATCCAGTCTCTTGATGATTGTCATCGGTCCTTCGGCCGAT